AGTCATTTTCGTGATCAGGGCATCGACTTACCTCTATAGGCAAATTTGCGGTGGTTTCTAAGGTGTACAAAGTTACACTGCACGAGCGGGGGTGGTTTTACGTGAAATCGGCGCGGGCTTATACACCGGAAATTAGGGTAAATATTGTAGAAACAGCCATGATGGCGACGGTGGTGGTCGGGGTAGGGAGAACGGTGGTCGACCCCTTTTTGAAAAAGTGCGATCGTCACGGTTGACCCTGCTTTCAACCCTCTACGGTGGCTTAGAAGTGGTGTCAAAAAAAGACTTTTATATGTATTTATCCGGGTGGTCCTGGATGGAGGTCGAATAAGCGCCGTAGCCCATGGACTAGTCCTACCTCCCATTTCATTATCCTTATTGTTACTACTTCATTTCTTATGGACAATCCACCGCTGCTAGTCGGACCAGCTATTCTCACATAGTTACCGTATTTGCCGGAATTTGTACCGTAACGAGACGCTCAGTATGTAGTTGACCGACCGCTCTGCGAGTGCACGCCTGTGGACCGACATGGTGCATCATTAGGCCGATGTCAGACTTTGCGAATCGCGCGATTCGCTACTAGCGATTCGCGCGATTCGCTAGCGTCCGCGGTCGCGTTGCGGTACCAGCCAATTGAGTGATTCACTGGCCGCGACGCGACCGCAGACGCTAGCGAATCGCGCGATTCGCAAAGTCTGACATCGGCCTTATGGATCAGGTGCTTGGAAAGGAAACGTCCATTGAAATTTTCTAGTGGTCATGGCTTTGATGACGTTTCTGACATTTCGCAAAGTAAACTGTTCATATTTCAGTTCTAAGAGCGATTAACGACGACAGCTCCGTAGTGCCTACACTACTGACCGACTACATTCTGACGGGTACGTCTCTTGAGATTTGTGCCTATCGCATTCCTCCACTAATTCTTCACATTTCAGTAGTGTGCCCAAAAACCGTTGTCTGCTAGTCCGGTGCTTCATGATCTCCATAGATCTCTCTATCGCCTTGCACACACCCTCACACAGTTACCGTACCTGTCGAAGTCCGTACCGTATGGCGAGATGTTCAAACTGCCTACACAATCGTTTACCAAATGATTTTGAGATCAACGCTTTCTGTTACCGCTTTTTCTTATTCATCGTTATAGGGTAACTGCTAGCAAGCTTAGGCACATGAATTAATCACGCTGTTCGTTACTGTTTAATCAATAGCTATTAATATCATTGAACTCATTTTCACGCCCTTTCTGCTTACATCGTTTCTGTTGTCTCTTTCTGTTCTGCCCGGATTTGGCTCCTAAGCTTCATCACATCGGTTCCGTATTCAGACCCACGACGTTTAGATGCCCTTTTCAGGGGCTTAAAACCGAGAAGATCGCCTGTTTTATGCCAGAGAAAATGGATCCCATAAGCGAGTAGCGAGGTCCCATCGTATGACCACCATGAGATGCAAGCCCTTTGACTGCGGCCAAAATACGACACAGAGCAGCTGTGTTTTGGTCACAATCGCAGTTATATGCACAACTTGATAATGAACTCAGCCTGACTAACCAAACCCAGTGAGTCTAAACGTCACGACTGCATGCGATTTTCTATGGCTGACATTC